AGCTGTGGTTGCTTTATGCAAGGTTTAGCAAAAATACATTGGAATATATTTTCAAGAGTTCACATAAGATCCTCGAGCCCAGGGCTCCCTCCCGTTTGCAAGCGCTCAGGTAGATCTCGAGAACTCCCCTGCTGAAGTAGCTAATGAACAGATAGTGATTGCTCTTAAGAGATAACTGCTTACTAGCAGGATGGATGTCTATGGTGCCAATTTGGATTAGTCAATTTACTTAAGTTGCATGTTTTTTGGACAGTGGGAGTAGGGGTGGAAGGGGGGATTCTTCAAAGAGAAGATTGTTGTGATATGAAACTTAAGGTATTTATAGACCATTTCAATGTGGCCATGTCATTGGCCCATGAACATTTCCTGCTTGTTATCAACAAGAGGCAGTTCATTCATAACTTAATTTTAAGGCAGCTATTATAATATTATTTATCAATATGTGGCTCTCTTTGGATTCTCGGAAGCTATAGAAATTAAAACATGTAAAACAGGAAATACACTGGGACCATTGCTTTTGTTTACATCACTCAAAATGGTCTAGAGTGGGTTAGGAATTGTCTGATTGGTGAATCATAAATTGGATAGCGCCGGACCAGCCGCAAGCAATCATAAGCACGTGATCCTCTTGAAATTAGTTTATAAATAAACTTAACTTAAAATAAAATACCAAACATTGTAATTTTAGGTGTGTAAACATAAACTACAAAATACAGCATCCACAAATGTATAAAAATAAAATACTGTATTTTGTATTTTAAAAATACTACAAAATACTTTTACAAAGGAGCATAAAAAATTTCTTTGCAAATCTTCCATCAATTAGACCTATTTGATCCTTTCCTTTACTATTAAAACTGATATAGTAAAGTAAAGAATGTTTGATAGCAAATGTGGCCAGTAAAATTGCCATCATCTCTGCACATTGATTATTCATCCTCCTACTACTTTAAAAAGGTGTTAAATAAAAAGTTAATTAAAAAATTTGTTCACATGAAATTTTCAGAAATCTTTTTTTTTTTTTTTGCTATCGGTCTCTTCAATCCTCAATGTAAAAACTGTATTAGGAGTTTTTGATAATTAAACATTTGTGTTTCATATGTTGTGGCATCTTAAGGCTTACATCGTTCCTCTTCATTAACTATACAGTGGACCTACTGATCAAGTACTGGCATTTGAAACTGTCAAAGAAGTATTTATTAATAAGACTTATATATTAATAATTTTATATTTGTATTTATTATTAAGACTTATTTTTATGTTGCTTGTTTTAACGACAAACATTTGGCATTAGCAATCCATTCAAAACTAATATTATTTGCAAAGTACTGTATAATCTTTCTCCCAGGATTTTTTAAATTCTTCTTTAAATGGAAGAGTCAATGACATCCAAAGCACCAGTCAGAGGGTGCATTTATAGTATATTATGTCTTTATGTAGATTTTCTTACACCTAAAACTCATTAAGAAAATAAAAAGTTTTGATAGACTTTTAAAAGTGTAGTTTCAGCTTTAAACAATCAGAACACCAGATTCCAAGACTTTTAGTTTTTTTTTTTTCTTACACTAGTTTAACCCCCAAACAGACCTTCAGATAGCCATGTCATTCATTCATTTTCTTTTCAGCTTAGTGTCTTTATTAATCTGAGGGCGCCACAGCAGTTGTTTTACGCAGCGGATGCCCTTCCAGTCTCAACCCATCACTGGGAAACATCCATATACACACACACTTAGTCACACACATACACTTCAAACAATTCACCTGTACCACATGTCTTTGGACTTATGGGGGAAACCTGAGCAACTGGAGGAAACCCTCGCAAACATTGGGGGACCCTGCTGAAAAATCCAGCTAGGCTGGTTTGCTGGTTTTAGCTGGTCGACCATCCTGGTTTTAGAGGGCCAGTTTTGGCCACTTCCAGGCTGGTTTCCAGCCATTTCCAGCCTGGTCTTAGCTGGTCAGGCTGGGAGATGACGAGCTAAAACCAGCTTGACCAGCCTAGCCAAGCTGGGAGTCCAGCCAAAACCAGCTATGTTCAGCTTAAACCAGGCTGGTCAAGCTGGTTTTAGCTGGATTTGGCTGGTCATTTTACAGCCTGTCCAGCTAAGACCAGGCTGGAAATGGCTGGAAACCTGCCTGGAAATGTCAACCAGCTAAAACCAGCCAACCAGCCTAGGCTGGTTTTAAGCTGGATTTTTAAGCAGGGGAACATGCAAACTCCACAAAGAAACGCCAAGTGACCCCGCTGGGGCTTGAACCAGCGACTTTCTTGCTGTGCAGATAGCCATGTTGGTAACCAAAATGCTACTAGCTGATCAGCAGACAAAAGGTCAAAACACTATCAAAACTGGCAATAACTTACCTAGTTTGGCCTTTCAGGTCTCATTAGGTGTGTTTCGGCAGTTTTCTCCCTTTGTATTTATTGAGAAAGTTAGCATTTAAAATATGAACTTTTTCTCTCTCTTCTATATTACTGTCTGTTTCTCCTCACCCCATCACCTTATTCTTCCAAACAAACCCTAAACAAACATCAGCCTCCTGACTAGTTATCAGTATGCTCTGAAATGTTTATAAAATGAAATGATGTGCCAAATGAATATGCTCACCAGGGGAAAAAAACATCCTGAGGTAAATACTCATAATCAGAAACAGGTGTCTCACAGCAAGCAGGTGTTTGTGTTCGTTAGAGAGAGTTCGAGCAGCGCATAGACTTTAATCCTGTGTTCTGATGAAGAGTGCCAGACTCGCTCTAGTATCCAGCTGTGTTCGTTGACCCTTGGCCACTCAAATCGTGTCCGATCAACACGGAACAGTCGCAAACTAGAAACAGTTTGGTAGGTCACCTTTTGCAAACAGAACTTTCATCCTTCGCTTCGACTCTTTCAAAGTGTGAGCTCGTTCTCAAATAAGTCACTGGAGGACAACACAGAGCACTGATCCAGTCGATGACCTGAACACTGCTCCGCTGAGTCCAAACATAGCCATCGACCCGATCCCGCAAAGCGTGCCAAATCACCGACCCAGAACTACAGACTGTATTGGTGAAGTCAATGGGATTCACCAGGTCTGACCGTTAATGTGGTCAATGAGCCAGTCTTCCACTAAATACAGATTCTGCTTCTAGATAGCTGTTCCACAACAAGGCACATAGGAAAGACAGAGGCCAAGGGACGGGCATCCGAATGCAGAGTGGCAATCTGGGATTTTACACATGAAGGATCCCACACCTGGTCTGTAGATAACTCTCGGGCCATTGTGTTCGCTACATTGAGTTTCGTCTCGAGTTGACTCTCAGATGCAGCTCTAACCTCAGCTTGACTCTGTGACAAAAACGAGCTGCCCAAGTGGTCTGCCTGTCATTTTCTATTCAAAGACCCATGCATCCTCTGACTGAATCAGTAGCATTCATTCATGCAAGATGATTTAGAGCAAATACAGCGTTTACATTCAGTTTACAATTATGCATCCTAATTATTTAGATCTGCTATTATTCGGTTCCTCCACATATTTGTGACTTTATGTAACACTTTACTTTAATTGGGTGTTCATAAGACTGTAATGATACCTTTATAAGTATGGCATGACACATGAGATGTTATGCATGCTTATGACAACTGTCATTAAGTGTCATAAGCTCAGTTAAATCATATTAAATGCAGTTGTGGCTTTGTTTGAGATGTTTCTAAGACAACTCGTCAAATAAATCATAACATTTGTCTTCGGTAATGACAACTTGACATTACCAAGACAACATAACTCGTCATAAATCTGTTTTTGATTTAAAATTGATTTGAAATATGAGAACTTTTGATAATTTACAAATTTGTCAATACTCTGTCAAATAATTTCATTACGGCATCAATAATAATTAATGGCAATTAATGACATTGTAATGAAAAAGTCATTAAAAATGACACAACTGAGCAAATGACACATAATGACAGTTGCCATAAGCATAAACTAAATCCCATTCATTTTCATCATGTGCATGTCATTACACTGTTAAGAATACTGGGGACACACTGTCCATTTGTGTTGGGACAACATGAATGAATTACAGTAAGTTAGCTTATTAGTTTCTACACATACACAGTGCATCCAGAAAGTATTCATAGTGCTTCCCTTTTCCACATTTTTTATACCATAACCTTATTCTAAAAGTAATTAAATGTATTTATTTCCTCAAAAAAAAAAAATTCCTTATTTCTCTCCAGAGATGTTCAATAGGATTTAGGTCTGGTCTCTGGCTGGGCCAGTCAAGGACATTCATCGAATTGTTTTGAAGCCACTCCATTGATATTTTGGTGGTGTGCTTTGGGTCATTGTCCTGCTGGAAGATAAACCTTCACCACGGTCTGAGGTCAAGAGAACTCTGAAGCAGGTTTTCCTGTCTCTGAGGTCTACAGAAAATTCCTTTGTCTTCATGCTTGGTTTGACCTTTGACATGCACAACCCTGGGACCTTATATAGACAAGTGTATGCCTTTTCAAATGTCCACTCAACTGAATTTACCACAAGTGAACTCACATTAAGCTGTTAAAACATCTCACAAATGATCAGTGGAAACAGAATGTATCTAAGCTCAATTTTAGATACACAGCAAAGGCTGTGAATACTGATGTACATGTGATTTTTAAGGTTTTTTGTTTTAAAAAAATTTGCAACAATTAAAAAAAAAATTTCCCATTGTCATTACGGGGTATTGTATGTAGAATTTTAATATTAAATAAATAAATTTAATCCATTTTGGATTATGCGCTATGAATACTTTCCAAATGCACTGTAAGTTGACTGTAGATAAACCTATTAAGTTGTCACAAAAACTGTAAGAATTGGTGAGTTTCAGCTCCTTTTAAATAAAAATGTTAAATAAACAGCGATTTAGAGAGTATTATAAAGGTCTTATGAACACTGCTTCAGGTAAAGTGTTACCTGACTTTATATATAGCAAAGCTCATGATCTTTTCATCCCTTTTTATTTGCTTGATTGCCCATCGAAGGTACTGAAGGAAGTTCGGGATGAGGACTGGGATTTGAGGAACATTGTTTACACCCTGATCAACAGAAGAAGGGGGGAGGCTTCTGTCACTTATGCTGAGAGCCATGACCAGGTTAGTCATTTGTTAAGTGAGTAACAAGTCATACATAATGAAAAATGTTCACTGATGTTCGCTGATCGCATAGCTGTCCAATTGTGTTAAGGCAAGGTGTAAATGGCTCCCAAAATGCATTCAAGATGGATATAAAATCGAAGTGGTTTGGGACTAGGGCTGTAACATAAGGGGAAAATATTTTAATTGTGATTTCTTTCTTTCTTTCTTTTCAATTATTTTTTTTTTACAGAGATTGGGATTTTGATATGATTTACAATTTAATTTTGTAGTCAAGCTTTAGCTTAATCTAAAATGCAGTGAGTGTTAATAAAAAAGGAACTTAAAAGATAATAACTTATATTCTCAAACATCTCTGAAATTGCACTTTGCTGTTGCTTATTGGAAGACTCTCTGTTTTTGACACCTAACTTTAATTCTTATTGAAGATTTTTTTCGCTATTGATAAATATCTACAAAGAAGCAAGTTGCCTTTCATTGATCAGGGTCATCAACTCCCAGTAGCTCAGTGGTTAAGTGACTTACCTCTCATGCCAGAGACCCGGGTTCTATCCCCGACTCGAACACAGCGAAGAAGACCAAGGCGAGACCAAGATGCCGACCAAAACGACAACCATGAAGACGAAGACTAAGCAGACCAGTAAGACAAGGAAAAAAACAAGCACGACAACGTAGACCAAGACCAAGAAGATGACGACCAAGAAGACGAAGACTAAGTAGACAAAGACCAAGACGAAGATGACGAAGAAGACCAAGCCAAAGATGATAAAGACGAAAACCAAGACCAAGACAATGACAAAGAAGCAGAACAAGCAAGATGAAGATGAAGACCAAGACAAAGATTATGACTAAGCAGATGAAGATAATGAAGATGAAGACCAAGATGAAGAAGACGAAGACAAAGTAGATGAAGAAGACGAAGTAGACAAGTAGTAGACAAAGATTAAGACGAAGAAGACAAAGAAGATGAAGACTAAACCAAGACAACGACAAAGAAGCAGGATGATTAAGATGAAGACCAAGACAAAGAAGACTTAGAAGAAGTCGAAGAAAACCAAGTCAAAGAAGACGACGACCCAGACGAAGACAACAACGAAGATGATAAAGATGATGATGAAGAAGACGAAGTAGAAAAGTAAAAGTAGACAAAGACCAAGACAAAGATGACAAAGAAGACCAAGACAAAGAAGATGAAGAATATGATCAGACAGATTATTGGAAGACTCTCTGTTTTTGCCTTACCTAACTTTGTTTGATTTCATCAATTCCCAGTAGCTGAGTGGTTAGGTGACTCACCTCTTGTGCCAGAGACCCGGGTTCTATCACCGACTTTGACAGACTATGAAAAAGACCAAGACAAAGACCAAGCAGACAACTAACACTAAGAAGACTAAGACGACGATGGCAATTTAGTTTTTTTTAAGACAAAGTAGACAAGTAGAAGTAGACAAAGACCAAGACGAAGATAACGAAGAAGACCAAGACAAAGAAGATGAAGATAAAAACCAAGACCAAGATGACGACAAAGAAGCAGGACGACCAAGATAAAGAAGACCAAGACAAAGATGATGACCAAGCAGACGAAGACATCGAAGATAAAGATGAAGACGACAAAGACAAAGGAGATGAAGAAGACCAGGAAGACAAGTTGTAGACAAAGATTAAGACGAAAATGCTGAAGACGAAAACCAAGACCAAGACAATCACAAAGAAGCAGGACGATGAAGATGAAGACCAAGACAAAGAAGACGACCAAGAAAACGTAGACTTAGAAGATAACAAAGAAAACCAAGTAAAAGAAGACGACGACCAAGACAACAAAGAAGATGATGATGATGAAGACGAAGACGAAGAAGATGACTGCAAAGACGATATGAAGACCAAGACAAAGATGATGACCAAGAAAATGAAGACTAAGATGATGGCGAAAACGATGAAGAAAACCAAGTCAAAGAAGGAGATGACAGATGATGATGACAAAGAATATGATCAGACAGCTTATTTGAAGACTGGAGATTTAATCAACTCCCAGTAGCTGAGTGGTTACGTGACTCACCTCTCATACCAGAGACCCGGGTTCTATCCCTGACTCTTACAGACAATGAAAAAGACCAAGACGATGACCATGAAGACGAAGACCAAGCAGACAACCAAGACCAAGAAAACAACAAAAACCTAAAAGACTAAGATGACGTTGGCGATATAGTTTTTCTGTCTTGTATGCTGATGATGGTTTACCTGAACAAAAGTGAAGTACAAAACCTCCTGTAACTCACATATAAAAGGCAATTGTGTGCTGAATAAGATATACAGCTGATATTTCTATAAAAAGAGTAAATTAATCAGTCACATTGGTTAAATGTAAAGTTAAGTTTAAACTACTTAATTTTGTTAAATTTGAAATTATGAGCATGGGATTTGAAGATCAGAATATACATCATATATATTTAGCAGAGACACATTTATGTAACCATACGTAGATGGAATTATCTTCACAAATCAGATCTGAGAAAACACATTGTGGAATCAGCAATCTTTATTTATTTAATCAATTAGTTTGTTCATGTTTCAAATGTTTAGATGCTCTTGCACAGTAAAAAACACTTAGCTAAAAAAACTATGTTGCTCCATCCTTCTTACTTTCATTTTTTATTCTTCACACCTACAATACCAGTCAAAAGTTTGGGGTCAGTAGGATTTTTAAATGTTTTAAAATAGGCTTATCCTGCTCACCAAGGCTGCACTTATTTAATTTAATAATTTATTCCAGTAAAATATTTAATTGTTTATTATTACATCTTAATAATAATCTAAAACAAGTCCAATGATAATGGACCAAACCATTACAAAGAGGGGAAAGATCAACAAATATGCAAATACACAACATATTGTACATGTATTTGACACTCTATAGACAAATTAGAATCTTTCAAATTATGACTTTCACTCTTTAACCGTTAAACCACAACTTCTCTAGTTTTTGATTTTAAATAAACATTGAGCAAAAAACTTCCTTTTAGCCAGCTTAACAAGAAAACTCAGTTTAAAAACCTGTACACTTTGTGCTTCTTACTTTATTTATTTGTTTTATTCTTTACACCTATTTGATTCTTTATTATTACACCTTTGTAATAATAATCTAAAACAGTCAAAACAAAAACAAACCAAACTAAAAGATCAACAAATGTTCAAATACACTTAACAGATCAACATATTGAACATGTATTGTAGCACTCTATAGACAAATGATGGCTCTTACTCTACAGTATAACCATTAAACCACAACTTCTCCACTTTTTGATTTTAAATGCTATAAACATTTAGCAAAAACGTTCCTGTTCCACCAGCTTTACGAGTAGGATAGAGATTGTCAGCTAATTTTGGATATTCACCATTCTTAAATGTTTTCTTAATGTTAAATCAAGTTAAACATGCTGATATCTTTATGTTTGTTACCAGGCATTGGTCGGGGACAAGTCGCTGGCATTTTGGCTGATGGACAAAGAGATGTACACCAACATGAGTGCTCTCACTACCATGACGCCTGTTATAGACCGTGGCATCCAGCTGCATAAACTCATCCGTCTGCTCACTCACAGTCTCGGAGGGGAGGGCTACCTCAACTTCATGGGTGAGTCTCCTTGGAAACTAGTTGTTCTGTTTTGTGCCTCTACTGAAGTAGAAGTGTGTTTGTTGGCATTTTGGGCTGGCATAGGCTAGTTTTGAAGTTGTTAGTCATATTCAAAAAAGTATAAAAGTTTGTGCTGATTATATGGTTATGAATCTCCCTTCCTAAGTTGTATTTGGAATGGAAATTTTCAAAAAAATAAATGGGTTTTCTAAACTACAAACTTATTTCAGAAGGAAAAATACGTATAGGTTTGTATACACATCACAACACAGGGAAAAAAAACCATGCTTTGCGCCCAGCCTGAAGCGGTAAAAGATTGCTGTCTGGATGAGTAAAGATGTCTTTCATTACAAGCGCAGTCCTCTTCTATCAAACACATAAAAGCATTTCACTTTGTCTGCTCATCCATGTCTGTGCGACAGTACTAAAAACAGTAATATGTCCAAAGGTCACCATCTTTGTATCTTTCCATCTGCAAATAGAAAGTAAAGCCACTTTGGTATAATTGCACACAAAGGCGAGTGGCAGAACACATTCAGAAAGGAAGGGGAAAAAGAAAAAATATGCCTGAGACTTGAAACAGCCAAGGCCAGACGGCAAACAGCAGCGCCATCAGATCGATGGCGAGGCAGTCGTTTAGCTCGTGTTGAGCGAGAACAAATTGTTCGAGCAAAAGAATCAATCTGACATGTCAAGCCTAAAGCTCCTCATCCTCGAAAAATTCCTCTTAACTCAAAGCGAGAGAAAGGCCAGCACTGTGGTGGGGGGTGGAGGGGTGGGGGGGTGAACATGGAAAAGAGACATATCTTGATTTCAAGAGGAAATTGTGTCTATGACATCCAAGATTTGCTCTTATTTTTTCTTTTTTTTTTTTGGAAAACATACAATTCTGCTCAGAGTTGTGAATAATTTCACTTTTTACTTTATTCCCTGTTTCATTTCTTTATTGAAACTGGGTTCTTCCTCAGAGTAAAGTGTGATTTTATATTTGTGTACTTTTTGCATATACATTCTTAAAATAAGTGACATTAACCTCAGGATTAAAATTGTTTAAGACAAGTTTCAGAGAATAATGCTTAAAAAGTTTCAGAGAATATGTTGAAGTGGCAGATAGGGAAAGTTTTCACACACTCCACTGAATTATTTGTTTATCTCAGCTGTTATATAGTAACAATACTGGAAGTCTCGGCTCCCAAATAAACAAACCAGTGAATGAAATAAATAAATCTATTGAACAGGGGAAAGAAGGATACAGTTAATTAAACAAAGATAATAAGCTGGTAACACTTCATAATTCCAACAGTTAATTTTAATGTATTTAGTAGCATAAACAAACCATAAAAAATGCATTTATTATAGTATTTATTCATATGTGTTAATGTTAGTTAATGAAAATAAAGTTGTTTGCTGAGGGCGTCACGGTGGCGCGGTGGGTAGCATGATCATCTCACAGCAAGGTCGCTGGTTCAAGCCCCGGCTGGGTCAACTAGTCAACTAATTGCTTTGAAAGCAATGGGTTTGCTCTTTTTTTTTTTTTTTAAAGTAGAGTCAACTATTCACTTTTTTAAAATGCGTAAAGTAATTCACAACAAAACCTATCATTAATCTGTCAATTTAAGTTTTTGAAAACTGCAGATATATTTTACCCTTGTGTATATTTCAAGAGCTCACTCTTAGCTGATGATTAATAAAAAAGCTTACTTGGCATGCTGTTCCGGGAGAGAGCCCAGAGCTCAGAATATCCTTAAGGCCGAAGCTCCCTCCCGTTAGAAAGATGAGAGGGGAGTTCGAGCTCAGGTAGGTTTCGAGAGGGGGTTGTTCAAGATGAAGATGACTGGAGGGGCAAACTCTAGTTATTTATAGTGTGTCAGTATTCGACTGATTGGTGCATCAACGGAGCTGATGCGGTACCAGCCATGTTAAATCATAAGCATGTGATCCTCTTGAAATTAGTTTATAAATAAAACATACTCACAAGTATGAGTTTCTTTCTTTTGTTGAACACAAAATAGGGTATTTTGATGAATGTGCGCAGTTGTGGACATTCATGTGAGCAGTTGTGACCTGCCTTTTGAATTTTTTTTTACTTTTTCAAATATTTCCCAAATGATGTTTAACAGAGCAAAGAAATTTTTACAGTATGTCTTAGAATATTTTTTCTTCTGGTGAAAGTTTTATTTGCTTTATTTAGGCTAGAATAAAAAAAGCAAAATCGTAATACAATAATTTAACCTAGTAACCTAGCTAAGCCTTTAAATGACAATTTAAGCTGAATGATAGTGTCTTGAAAAAATCTCTAGTTAAATATTATTTACCGTCATCATGGCGAAGATAAAATAAATCAATCAGAAATGAGTTATTAAAACTATTATGTTTAAATGTGGTAAAAAAAATCTCACTGTTAAACAGAAATTGGGGAAATAAAATAAACAGGGGAGCTAATAGTTCAGGGGATTTAATAATTCTGATTGGAACTGTATATGCAAATAATTCATAAGCTGCACATAGTTAAAGTCAAAATTATTAGCCCTCCTGTGATTTATGTTTTTACTTTCTTTTTCAAATATTTCCCAGATAGTGTTTAAAAGAGAAAGGAAATTTCCCCAGTATTTTCTATTATATATATATATATATATATATATATATATATATATATATAACGTACGTATATACCTACTTATATAAATATATATATATATTTTTTTTTTTCCGTTTTTAGAAATTAGTTATTAAAACTATTATGTTTAGAAATGTGAAAGAAACAGCAATTGGGGAAAATAAATTAAATTATTACAATTTAAATAATTCTCACCTCAACTGTATGTATAAAAAGCAATATATAATTTGAAACAACAGATTCTAATGTTCTGTAGTAGACAGAACCGTCAGCTCTACTGTTTTTAACCAGCGTTTTTAGTAATGGAATAATGAAGCAGTTGTGAATTGTGTAAAGAAGCACTTGGTAGAACACACTGAGTTCGTCCTGGCTGTGCAGGTGAAAGACTTGACTGCACTCCTTCTCAAATCAATGCTCAGTTTTGCTCAAATCTGTCCACACAAACACATCGATCTCTCTCTCCCCGCTAACGCCGTTAATTAGCATGCTGCGGCTACATCATCTCCTGTAGCAGCCGACACGCTAGCGCAGCTCGGTAAATATTCCAGGCCTATTCTGAGGTTGCTGTTTAAACTGTGTTTAGGCTTGGCAGATTAACATCAGCTAGTTCATGAGATGCTTGTGGTGCACGTCCATTCCTCTCTGCCCTCTTTTTTTCTCCGGATCATTGTGCCATTGGACATTGATGTTAGCAGTGTTCCTCCTCTGATTAGTAGTTCTCGCTCATTGACTTTGGCTCTCTCTCAGAGGGAGCGAGAGAACTGATCAAAAATCGTTACGCCTGTCTGCTCCGCCGTTTGTTATTACAACCATCATTGCTGGTTACTGTTATTTAGGCTGTGCATGTACATGCGAGTGTTGCAGATCTGGTAGTGATCCATCTTAACATATTTTTACACTCAATACACATTAATGACAATAAAAAAAAATTTTAAAGAAACATTCATTCATTCATTTTCTTTTTGGCTTAGTCCTTTTATTAATCCGGGGTCGCCACAGCGGAATGAACCGCCAACTCATCCAGCACGTTTTTAGTTTCCAGCGAATGCCCTTCCAGCCGCAACCTATCTCTGGGAAATTTAAAAGAATCAAATATTTCAATGCACATCAGTTTAACTTCACTTAAACATCATATTAAAATGTATAGAACTTATTTATGTATATAAATAAAGTGTTTGACTGATTAGCCTATTAAAATAAATGAAATTAACATAAAAACATTTTTGATCATATCTTTTTACAGTAAAGGAGAAGTTGGGCATTCAAAATCTTTAAACGTTCAGTGTGTTATTTGCCATTTATACTGTATGTAACTATTTGTGAACGTTTACTTGTAATTGCTTACAGAGTGCGAATTATTCATTGTCAATCAGAGAGTCAACTGTTTCTGTAATGTTATTTTGTGTAACACATGCTTCAGTGAATTAAATTAAATGACATTTATTTTATCAGTATTTTATGGGATAGTATTCTGGCCTACAATATACTGTGATTAGCCATTTACTGTAGGCTACTGTAGGACAAACTATGTGTTACAAGGCTGACAACAGGGGGTGGGTTTATTAGCAGGATGGTCAGGCAAGCAACGGTCAACACAGGGGCAAACAGATGTTTACAGGCAAATCCAGTGTGGTGGTCAAATATCAGGCAAGAGGTCAGAAGGCAGGCAGCAGATAACGTAAATAAACAAAACAAGGCACAGGGTCAAAAACATGGCAGGACAAGGTAAGGGAAAACATGCCATAATGTTAACAGTTCAACAGATAACAAGACTCAGCAACTTCTGTTTGTGTGCTGACTTTATAGTCCTAGTAATCAGTTTATGTGTAACTTTAGCTGTGTCTGTCTGCATCATGGGGATCTAGGCCAGGTGTGTGAGTAGTGCATGACTGGATCTTGTAGTCCATTTAATAGCAGATTTTTAGTCCGTTAGTGATCTGCAGCCACTAATCTAATTTTAATTTACTTTTAGGCTATACAGTATGTAGAAACAAACAAGACAAGTGAACACTTAACATGTCTACCAGCTTAGATTAATTGACACATTTATGCATTCACAGTGGTATAATCCATAGTAGGGGTGGTCATATGTATATTTATATTAATTATTATTTTATTAGTAATGTTAGTATTTAAGATGTAGATTAGAGCAAACGAATTCTTAATATTTAGAGGACTGACCCCATACATGTTGTTTTTACATCTTTCAAGGGGGTCAAGCATTAATTAGGGTGATCAGTCCAATCATCAGTCCTTGGACCCGCTTTTGGCTTCAGAACTGCCTCAATCCTTCGTGGCATAGATTCAACAAGGTACTGGAAATATTCCTCAGAGATTTTGGTCCATATTGCAGGATAGCATCAGGAAGTTGCTGCAGATTTGT